AGGCCTTTCTGAAGCCTTTGCAGTGTCCCCAACAATGCCCTGAATAGTCAGATTAAAGGCAAGAGGACATTGATGGCTTTCACAAGGACAACTTGGCAATTAATTATCTCCACTTTGTGCTTCATCTAACAACTTGTATTGTTTATTTGGTTCTCCTGGTGAATATCTAGTGGTTTAGCATTTCAATCCCAGTCAGTAATCTTGCACTAAATATAAGTATTATTATATTAATGAGAAGGCAACAAATGCTGTAAAGATTTGCCCCAATCTGACCCAGGGAATGCTGTTAGACCCTTTTTGACAAATGTATAATTAGGTTGCAATCAACGCCTTTTTAATTCATCAATGATGTTAAAGTTGAGTTTCTGAACTTTAAAAAATGTTAGAGCTTTAATCATCTTTTCTTTGTGCTATTTTATAGAGTAACAGCTGTAGATTTTCTGCAATGCGGGAGAATGAGAATTTATTCACTAGGGTCGCTAAAGATTTTGTACTAAAAAACAAAAGGCACCATCTAAAACTGCACCAACACCAGATGTCCAATCTTGGGATTCATTTACCATTTCTGCATCTAATATAAAAACTCCAGGCCATTCATTCAATATTCATTCAGCAAATATTTCTTAAGCACTTACTATTAATATTTGCCAACACACTGAAGATACAATATTGCATTTCTAAAACAAGGAGAGACTCACTTGATAACTCTTTAATAAAGCATAGTCAAATTCATATTGAGCAAATTAACAGGGGAGATCTAGAGGGTTTTTGCCTTCCCGAAGCCTCTTTGCTTTCCACTTACTTGAGTGGAGAAACATACAAATCATGATAAGGGACATATCAGGTGTCTGAATACAGGTCTAGGGAGCTCAGAGAAAGAATCAATCAACATTGACTTAGCAGATTAAAGATAGCCTCATAGTGGAATTGACATCTGAGTGCCCTCAAGATGAGTAGGAATCCTCATGGAAAGGGAGAAAAGGGAATGTCAGGTAGAAGAACTCACATAAGTAAAGGCCCAGAAACATGACCATTTAGGATCAAGTGGAGGAGCAGGGAGCGGTCCTGTGCAGCGATGGGGGAGTGAAAAAGGATGATGCTGGTGGGTGGTGGTGGGGTGAGTGAGAAGGGAGCATGGAGGGTAGCTGTGACCATATTGTGAAGGGAAAGAAGTTTTTGCACAGGCGTCTTGGGGTCATATCTTTTAGAAGGATAATTCCTAAAGCAATGTGGAAGGTGATTGGGAAGGGTAAGAAAAGGGGTATAGGGGCCAGCCCGGTGGCGTAGTTGTTGGGTTTGTGTGTTCCACTTCAGCAGCCCAAGGTTCACAGGTTTGGATCCAGGGTGCAGACCTACATACTGCTCATAAAGCCATGCTGTGGCAGCATCTAACATACAAAATGGAAGAAGATTGGCACAGATGTTAGCTCAGCAACAATCTTCCTCAAGCAAAAAGAGGAAAATTGGCAACAGATGTTAGCTCAGGGCCAATCTTCCTCACCAAAAAAGAAAAGGGGTATAGTATATATGTATGTGTGTATGTGGGGGGAGGGCACTGTGTTTCCTTTTTTGAAATAGTCTTGGAGTAACTTCACTAACAATATAGGTAATTGAAGTATTTACAAGAATTAACTTCCCATATTGCTTAAGCAGAATTATTCTGGAAGTATCAGAAACATGATCTTTTTGAAAAAAAGAAAGAAAGAGAGAAAACAACGTCATTATTTTCTTCCTATTATTAATGTAATTCATGTTAATTTCAAAGTAAATATGTGATTAAAAATTGGATCATAAAAGATCGTAAAAATGAATCATAATCACACTACTAGAAAGAAACATTGTTGGCATGTGACTCTTCAAATGTGGCTTCATTCCCACCACCTAGAACAAGACATTGAAAAAGACTGATGATAGATAGAGTAATTCAGACAACTAGGACCAAGCTCATTTCAAGCAGAAGTGAGTATAACAACTTTGGCCTTACTTCGCACAGTGAAACTTGCCAAGGAAGACATTTATTGCTACATTATGATAATTATAAATTATTTATAATTATTTCAAAAAGTATGCTAAGTACTATGAAAAGCACAGTTGGAAATGGTTTTATATTTGGCAGTACACACTTGTTTAGCACTTGTTTTCTGCTTTGGAGCAGAAAATGAAAAATGCAAGGAATAAAAATAAATCCTTTCAGTCTTCAATTACCTTCAAGTGGAAACTCAAGTAGTGAAGGATGTAAACTTTTATTCATTAGTTTAGCAGCTCTTTAAAAATACCAATTATATGTACAACACTAGAGATAGATTTGTCAGTGAACAAAATATAGATTTTGTACCTGCACACATGGAGCACACAATCCTATGTAGTTTAGCAAAATATTCTTTCTCCCTGCTCTCTGGAATAGAAATCACACCCATTTTTCAAGGTCTGGCTCTGTTCCCCCATTTCCATGAAGTATTCTTGCACTGTTCTGGCTCCTGCAGATTTGTTCCTTCTCTGACATTCCATAGTTCTCAGAGATTATGCCATTATCAAACAATTTTGGTCCTATATCATCAGGAGCTGATCTCTATTAAAAGTATCAAAGTCCTTTCTCCTCAATAAGATAAAAAATTCCCTAAAGACAAAGACTTGAGATGGAGGTAAGGGCCAAATTTTCTGAATACCTAGCAATACTGTGCAATGTAGAATATTCTTGAAAACAACATTTGAATGTAACTGAAAAACTGATTTATTGGAGGCCTGGTTCTTAAACATACCAAAAAAGATACCCATAAAATTTGTCTTAGCATGGACGCTTTATAATACTGGAGCAAATGAAGGGGACTTGGTGAGAATTTCCTAATGGAACCTCAAAGCATACTCTTCTTCTCATTAGTTACTTTAAATTAGTTACTTAATGAAATTGTTCATTATTTCCTAAAGATGTTATATAATTTAAATGTCCCTAAATGACCTAAACAACAATCCAATCAGTTTTCTATTTCAAACAACAGTTAAATTGAGGTTCAGTTAAACATTAAGTTTGCAAAGAGGGAAAAAAGTTTGCTTGATGTTGCATTAACTCATTTCCAACTGATTTAAAGCTGTGACCGATTAGGATACAGTGAGACTATTAAAATAGGGAAGTCATTCTGGGAGTCTGATCTGTACTTCGACATTGTGAAATACGCCTGTGTTATTTGCAGATTTCTTCAGAAGCACTTTAAAAATTGATTTGTATGATTTATAAGACATGCTTTGAACAGGCATCTTGACAAAGTACAGCATAGTAGCTAAATTAAGTATATTGCTTAAATTGCAAAGTTGTAAGGAAGCATAAGAAAATTTATGCTGAGAGAACTAGGACATACTTGTCCTTTATTGTAACCTTTAAAGCTTGAAATCACTCTGTTCAAGATTACTGGAATGGTTATCCTCACTATCAAGAGCTTCTAATTGGTGTAACCGTAGTTCTGACCATCCTATCAGTCTACAGAATTGTTTGAGATAAGATTTTTCAGAAATGGGAAAATAGCCAGGGATATTTATATCATGTGCCAGGTTATGGTGAAGGGCATAGAATTTGAGATGAAAAGAAAACAGCTATCAAGAAAGTGGAAGAACCCTATGAAAAAGTTCTTACTCTATATGAAGTAGAATTTGTTCATCAAATTATCCTAACCCAGATCTTTTCATTTTTTTTGTTTTACAACGGATAATATAGGAGCCATGTATTCATTTGAGAAGACATATGTACTAATTTTTAAGAAGTAGAAAGACTTCTCAAAACCATCTGGAAAGAATATGTTCACTTGTGTCATCATCCATCTTTGACAATCATACATCCTCTCTTCCCCAGCTCTCTGGCCATATCTGGCCTAGGCCAAGAGGAGAAAGCATTTAATACTTTAAAAAAAAAAAAATAACAAGTACAAATTCTAATTCTAAAGTCAGGCAAAGCGAAGGTAACATGCCAAAATACATGTGGTAGAATGTTCTCTTTATTTTAACATAAAGCATGTGTTTGGCAACCATTAATGGTAAAATCTAAGATGTCGCAGGCAAGGTACAAACCTCAGTCTTCCAAACATCAATAGACTAGTTGACATTAAGAAAGAATCATCTGAAAAGTTCAGGGAAGCTCTTTATACCCACACGCACAAAGGCTCTCCCTTCATGGCATCTTGTGCTTTCATGTTCAGCTGTTTAATACTCCTCTCAGCCAGCCATGTGGACCAAAAGCAATTAACTACATTTCCTGAAGACAGAAAGCATATTCCTCTGTTTTTTTTAGAAAGTCTAGCCCACACTTGTGTGCTTAACTATGTTTCATTAACAAAGAAGCAATCTATATACAAACTCGCTACGAAATCAACCACACAATAGGTAACATCCCAGTTGTCTCATTGAGCCTCATTCTGATCACAGAAACAGATGTTGAAACAAACCAAAGAGCAGGGTATGGCTAATCCAATTTAGGATGTCTCATCAAGTCTCAGTTGGCTAATCTAGTTTATGACATCTCACCAAGTCTCAGGGTTTACAGTGATGTATTCCAAACAACGGAAAGGCTGAAAAAAATCCACATCAAGGGCATCCAAAAACCACGTTAGTGTTAATAAGAGTTAATGCTGCAAGAAAAGAATATGGCCTACTGATCATGGTCTACTTCTGTAGATGAACTCTCCCCTCCTTGCTTCCTAAATCTTAATTGTTTATATAGTATCCATTGCTGACCAAAAGTATGTACCAGATAAGAATATAAATGAAATAAAGCCGACGCTAGTTGTTGTTTATTTGACTTTAGATTTCAAACAGGTCTTTCTAACTGTCTGGTTTTCCTTGGAAGATTAAGGGTAACAAAGCCTCATGTCCTCTGAAGATGAAGCATCGATTTTTCACCATAGGTAGTTTTAAAAAAACATTGTTGGTGGTGACTGGTTACTCCAGGAGTTCATAAATGCAGGTACACATCACACAGAAACATATCAGAACATTATGTTTGGGTTCTCACTGACCTTCAGGTTGGTATTGTGCTATAATCGTCACCGTCTGTCCAGCTCCCTTTAGCGCAGCAGCAGCCTGTTCATGGGATGCTCCACGGAGGTCAATGCCATTCACCTGAAAGAGAGAAGCCAGAGAATTTTGGTGTCTCGTAAGGCATATTATTCTGACAGACAGAGGAAAGTTTCCCCAAACTAAGAGGCTGTCTAAGATTATATCGCCTGCCTCAAAACTACTCATGTCCTATCCAGGCATTTGAGTGTTAACTTAGCAAGTTTCACATTCCTGATAACTTTTAGTTAGCAGACACATGAAATTTCATCTTCTGGTGTTTGTGCCATGGTCTGACTTGGTTGAAACTTGTCTATCTACCCATATCCACTAGGATTTTAGTGTCTGCTTTTAATACGCCTTTGTGAGTTTCCTAGATTTCTGGGGTAGATAGGAGCCTTCAGTATTAGAGGGAAAACAGGATAATAAAGAGAGACACATGTAATGTACATAGAAAAGTATGTGCTGACAGATTAATATATTCAGATGAGGTTCTGGGGAGACTGTACGGCATGGGGCTGGCTTCCTGCCAAACCCCTCTCTGGTCATATGCCTATTCCTGTTGTCCTGAGCTTAGTTAGACAGCCCTGAGCCTTGTTCCGAAATAAACTTGACTGTCTCATTTCTCATGCACAATTCCAGAATGAATTCTGACAAAATGAAACAAAAAACACCAGGAGTTTATGTTGCTGGGGCTAACTCCCATTTTGGGGCCCACGCCAAAGAGAAACAGAGCAACTCAAAAACAAGCACAAAACTCTGCCAAGAGGGAAAAATCATTCTCAAGTCAAATTTAATGAGAAACAAAAGCTAAAGTCTTTCATGAATCAATTCAGTCTAAGTCAACCCAATGTAATTATTGAGTGCTTTCCAATGACAGGGATTTCTCTACCCCAGGAAAGGGATGGTGGGTAGGGAACAAAGGTGAATAAGAGAAGCCCCTGGGAAGCTTTTCTGCTTCAACTGAACACACAGTAGGTCCAGTTTTCTAATCTATATAGAGTTAGATTTTTGCAGATGATATCAGAATTCTACTTCCTTTTATTTACAGGGAAGATAGCTATGGCCCATAAAGAAGAATAAAAGAACAGATGAGCTTATCTACACATAAAATAAAGACTTATCTTGCCTCTCATCAATCCTCTTTGACAATGATATTGGGTGGTGGGTGGAGGGTTAACCACTGTGTTTCCGTATCAGGCCTGGAACATCTATAATCTTCAATTCCACATCCCGGACATCTCATAATAACTTTGTTAGAGTCTCCTTACTCACTGTTATAATTTTCCTTGCCTCTCCCCTGGATCTCAAGTATGATGAACTCCTTACTAAAAGCATTGATTACACAGTAATTGAGAAGTTCATTGAGTTAGGCTTGGTGTGGCTGTGTCACTCACTACCTGAGTGACTGTCATATCACCTCTCTGAGCCTCAGTTTTCTCCTGCCTCAGAGGGAAGGGACTGTAAGGCTCTCTGAGTCTAAAACTTTCTTTAACTATAAAATTCTAGATCTACTCCATGGTAGGTGACCATTATTTCAGAGACTGTCTAGGCATTAATGAGTCAGAAGTCTGACTCAGAGAGCCGGAAGAGACAGGAAAAGTAATTTGATCTAGGCTCCTGCCTACAGGAAGCTGAATACACACACTTCATGGGCCAGACAATCTTTTGTCAAACAATCAGGGTTAGCTTTTTATTAAAAAATAATATATGATCATGGTAAACGAATTCTAATGTTTCAGAAAGATATAAGAGGAAAAGTAAAAAGTCCCCTCACCATCTCCACTGTTAGCAGTTTCTTGTATACTTTTTAGAAATCTACTATATGCACATGCAAACACATGATTTTCTCTCGACTCTGTTTCTTTCTCTCTATATTTTAATAGGTTAAAATACTATCACATTTTTATTTAAATGAATAGGATCATATCATATATATAATTCTACAACTTGCTTTTCTTTTTGCTTTTTATTTAACAATGTCTCAGACACCTTCTATATCAGCTCATATCATTCTACTTTATTAATGGAGTCTAGTATTCCAGGTATAAATGTACCAGAATTTTCTCAATAAGATTTCTCTTAATGTGGGTAAGGCTGTTTATAGCGTTTTACTACTGCCAATGCTCATGACAGTGTTTCTGAAGGATAAATTCTCTGGAAATAGACTACCTAGGTCAAAGGGCATATGCATTATTTGTTTCTTTTAATTTGCTAATGTACACTTTTAAATGATTATTTTTTCACTAAACAAACACAAACTAATAAAGAAGAAAACAAAAACCGGCCATATCTCATTGCTCAGATAATGCATTAATATCCAAAAATAAAATCAATATATGTACATGATGCACAGACCTGAAAATGAAAGCAATACAAAAAAGCATAAAAACAAAAGCCTCCTCTTCATTCTTGCTACACTCTCCAAAGGTAACTGGGTTGATGGCTTTTTCATACACTATCAAATATTTTTGTATTCTTATATATACTACCAATTATTTAGCAGGTTTATAAAATATATAAATAATTTAAAAATTTTGTACCAGTAAGATCGTATTTTACCCATTGTTTTATACTTTGATTTTTTCCTCTTACAAATACAGATGGTCCCTGACTTATGATGGTTCAACTTATGATTTTTAGACTGTAGGATGGTGTGAAATCAATATGCACCCAGTAGAAACCATGCTTTGAATTTTGAAGTTTGATCTTTTCCGGGGCTAGTGATCTGTGGTACAACACTCTCTTATGATGCTGGGCTGTGGCAGCGAGCTGCAGATCCCGGTCAGCCATGTGACCACAAGGGTAAATAACTGACACGCTTACAACCATTTTGTACCCACACAACCATTCTCTTTTTCACTTTCAGCGTAGTATTCAATAAATTACATGAGATATTCAACACTTTATTATAAAATAGGCTTTGTGTTAGATGATTTTTCCCAGCTGTAGGCTAACATCAGTGTTCTGAGCACATTTAGGCAAGCTAGGCTAAGCTATGATATTTGGTAGGTTAGATATATTAAATGCATGTTCAACTTCTGATATTTTCAACTTCTGGTGGGTTTTTTGGACATAACCTCAGCATAAGTCAAGGAAGATCTATATAAGTTAGACAGCTTTGTTCATTCACATGTTCTTATACATTGTCTCATTCTTTTTTAATAACTGCGGAGTGTTCTATTATTTAATGTAAAACAATTTACATAAACCCTTACAACACTTTAATATTTTGCTATTACAGACAATGCTGTAATAAATAATGTAATAAATATCATCTAATAATAAGTTGTTGGATAAAGAGTATTAGTGTTAAATTTTTATAGCTATTGCTAAATTGCCTCCAAAAAATGTAGCATTAATTTATACTCCCATAAATAATATGATTGTCTACTTCCTCACACTCTTGTAAAAATTGCACATATCCCAACATTTGACCTCTGCCATTCTGATTGGTAGACAACTGTATTTTTAAATTTTGCATTTCTTCAATTATGAGATTAAACACCTTTTTATATGTTCATTGGTTATTCACATTTCTTTTTACATAAGACGCTCATTAACTTATTTTACGTATTTTTTGTTTGGATAGTTTGCTTAAGTTTATCTGCATATTAAGAATATTAGTGCTCCTCTTAGATAACCATTGCTAGTTTGTTATGTAGTTTGCTATTTGTATTTTGTATTATTGTATTTAACTAATCCCTTGTATGCCATTTCTTGCCATACAGAGTTTAAAATGTTTCATATACTCATATTTATCACTTTCTTCTTTTTTAACTTTTGAGTTATGTATCATATCTTCCCCTCTCGAATATATTTAACAAATTACCCATGTTTTCTTCCAGTACAACCATAGTTTAATTTTTAGCCATTTAATCTTTGATCTATTTGAATATATTTTGGGGTTTGTTGTGAGAACAAGGTGAACGGCCACCCTTTCTTGGACCTTCCCTTTACAGCATCAAATTTCTACATCTTTCAATATTATAGTCATCCTCTAAATTTTTCACAGTTAGTGCACAAATCCTGAATCCTGAGTCCACCAGTTAAACCTAAGTAATTTGAGAAAGTCTTTTAGCTTCTTTTAACCTCAGCTTCCTTACCTGTATAATGGGTATAATACCTATCTACCTATCAGGGCTATTGCATAACTAAATGATACAGTATTTATAAAGCCCCTACCACAGAGCCTGGTACAAACAGACATTCAGAAAATAGTATCTATTATTGTTGTCAGTATTTCATCAAAGAGCTGTGATCATAAGTGATGAAATAAAATCTAATGGAAATTAACCAAAGCAGAAAATAATGTATAAATTACTTCATGTTTTCTGTTCATTTGTTTGTGGTTTTAGGAACACAGAATTTCAGCAGTGGAAGAGCCCTAGAAACTTATTCATCCAGCGCTTACATATTAGAGATGATCTCATGGGGCAAGGGACTTGCCCCAAGTTGTTTCAGAATTAGCACAGGATTAGGACCCTCTTGGAGCTCTCTTGCCCAGCCAGCCGTCATTCCACTGCAGCAGACATGCCCTACTATGTGTGTTTGCTTCCGCTGGGCCAGTAATAACCAGATCTTGTTCATCTTAGGCCTAATTCTACATGAGTCTCTACATTTGTGCAGCAGTTAATGCTGGTGTTATCTGAAACAATATTCCAAACAATTGCTCACGTTTCTGTTGATTTTCCTCCCGGTTTTAGCACTTTCTCTTCTAGTCTTTCAAACTTTTCAAGGTCACTTTTTTTTCTTTTTCTTTCTTTTTTTTTTTGGTGAGGAAGATTCACCCTGAGCTAACATCTGTGCCAATCTGCCTCTACTTTGTATGTGGGATGCCTCCACAGCATGGCTGATGAGTGGAGCAGATCTGCGCCCAGGATCTGAACCTGTGAATCCAGGCTGCCAAAGCAGAGCACAAGGAACTTTAACCACTTGGCCATGGTGCCAGCCCTTCAAGGTCAGTTTGATTCTTATTTCTATCCCTGAGATTTCAGTTTTTATCAGTAATCTATGCTCAAATAACATTTTCAAAGGCATTCAAAAACAGTTTGCATCATTGTAGT